TTATATTTCATTCAGTTTTTCTCTCCCCAGCTCATCTTCCCAAAGACATTCTGCAGCTCCATTTGCAGGTGCTGGAGATGACTTTTGACAGCTGGATTATAATCTGTTCTCAGAAAGGTTTTTAACAATACCAAATTTTGTTTTATCACAGACTATTTTTTTAAAAAAAACCCCTAATTAACCACTGTCAAAAACCAGGTCTGACCCACCAAATAAATGAGATTAATAAGATAAATAAATAAATAAGGTTAATTCCATATTTGCAGAGAAACCTCTCAGTGCTGTAGGATAACCACTGCTGAGAGAAATGACACATGCTCCTCCTCAGCTTGAAGCAGTAATCTCTGTAGAATAAAGGCTGCTTTCAAGCTTTCAGCACTAGGATTGTGTGAAATTAAAAACTACGAATGACAGCTCTGATTTAGAACCTCTGGTAAACCTGCAGCTTATCTAAACTTAATTAATCTTCTAGTAAACCACACAGGTGTGATCAAAGCAACGATGAAACCCAAGGATTGCTTTTGTCGCTTACGATTTCTAACTGTTCGTGGAAATCTTCATTCTCAATGACTTTAATCAGTGGCTTCAGCTTCTCTTTCAGTTTCTTCCCTTCCTTTGCTGGAAGAATAAATCGCAGCCTCATGTGAGCACGTTCAATTTGCATCGTCTCCTTCAACTGCCTGATCACTTCCAGTGCCTACAAAGACACATTAAGAAGAAAGAGGGTTTATACACCTGCTTAAAAACCACCACTACCAGATCACAGATGTGCAACGAGGGGAGAGGGAAGGAAAATACAGAGTCACTTGGAAATCAAGTGCTGGGGCTGGTTTTTGGGTCTTCTTCACAGCACCTCTTCCCTGGAACAAAATACTTCTACAGGGTGTCATGTTCTGCTTAATCTAACAGCCAGCAATAAATCCTTTCCAGCTTTAATTCAACGTCTTGGCTGCCTGTCAGCACTAAATTACATTAATTACATGGCTGCCAAGGGATATGGCTGAGATATCTGTGGGGGGGGGAGAAAGCCTGGAGCAGTGAGCAGACAGCAGCGTGAAGATCAATCACTCTCCTGAAAAGTGGAGCCTGAGTCTGGTGTTCTCTGGTGGTCCCATGGGTTTGTTCTCAACGTGGGGTGGCTGGGAAATCAAGGTCTGAAATTTTTCTTTCACAGTGGAGGAAAGATGGAAGAAAATCAGTTGATTTTTATCAGGGAAGGAGCAAAGGGTGGGGGGAGAGAGGAAAGCTGGGAGGGGTAACACTGTGTAAAGGGCTGTCACAGAATGGACAAAAATCAGCTGTTTTCCATGGACACAGAAGAACAGGGAGGAGACACGAGGGTGATTTATTGAGACATTGGAGAGGGTGGAGCGGAGGGCTGGCAGCTGTGCAATCCCATCTCACAGGTCTTCAGGACATGGGTGGGCAAAGCAGAAACTGCCCTGGGCTGTGGCTGGTGCTGGTCCTGCTGGGGCAGCTTCCCTGCAGTCCATCCTCCTGTCCACAGCTTCCCTGGTGGGATCTTGAGGGTGGTGAGGTTGGCCAGAGAAGCTGTGGCTGCTCCTCCCTGGAAGTGTTCAAGGCCAGGCTGGATGAGGCTTTGAGCAACCTGGTCTAGTGGAAGGTGTCCCTGCTGCTGGCAGGGGGGTTGGAACTGGATGAGCTTTCAGGTCCCTTCCAACCCAAACCAGTCTGGGATTCTATGATCCCAATCTCAGATCCTTTGTGTTACCCTCAAACACATTTCTCAGTACAGATCACTGCCACTCTGCTGCAGGGGATTTGCTATTCCACTGTTTTGACACATTAACAAGAGAAGGCAGAGTGCTTGTTCTTCATGATCACCCCGATACTTAAAAAACCTGCCTGAAATAATGTGAAACAGGAGTTAACCAGCAAACAGCAGTGGCTCAGGGGTGAAGCCTGATTTACTACCTCAATGAAAATAAATTATCAAATCTTTATTTCTGTTCCAGGCACATCACTGTTGGTGCTTTAATTAGTTTCTTTCTTTCCCCGTTCCCTGAAAGGAGGGTGGAGAGAGGTGGAGGTGGGTCTGTTCAACCAAGGAACAAGGGACAGGACAAGAGGAAATGGGCTCCAGTTGTGGCCAGGGCAGTTGAGATGGGATGTGAGGAAGAATTTCTTTGCTGAAAGGGTTCTGAGGCATTGGAAGGGGTTGCCCAGGGCAGTGGTGGAGTCCCCATCCCTGGAGGGATTGAAGAGTTGTGTAGACACAGTGCTGAGGGACATGGGTCATATGGGGACTTGTCAGTGTTGGGTTCATGGTTGGACTTGATGAGCTTAAAGGGCTTTTCCAATCCAGGCAGTTCTGGGATCCTGTGAAAACCAACTGCACGAGTTTCAGGAGCTGCCTGTATCCAGCATTCACCTGCCAACCAGCTGAGTCATCACTCTGCAGGCTTCACCACAGGGCTCTGTGGATCCCTCCGTGACAGCTGCCAGAGAAATTACACTTGGAAACAACACCTCTGAGGTGATTTTGGTGAGAAAACTCACCTGCTGCTTGGTGCTCTTGTGTGGTTTGACGGAGTAGTGAATATCCTTCATGGCTCTCTCTATAAGGATCACCGTGTACGGCCTCTTCGTTTCAGGATTCACACATTTGTCAGCCACGATAGTCGCGATGTCTCGAAACATCTGCTCCAGCTGTGTGTGGCGTTCTTTGTCCGATACCTGCAGCTCCCCTTTGGATAAAATCTGCACAGTAAATAATTGGGGAAAATATATAAAAAAAAGTTAATAAAAGTTTTATTATTTCATTATTTATTTATTATCTATTAGTATTTTATTATTTATTTATTTATTTCATTATTTATTATTATTTCATTATTGTTTTATTATTTTATTATTTTATTTATTAACTTTTACAAATAAAAGTTAATAAATGGCACAGAGGTGACTAAAGAGTGAAAACCCTGGTAACTGTGTGAAATTGAACAACTGCTTGAATGGTTTCTTCATGGAAATGAAGAAGTATAATTGGATTAAAAGCATACATTGTTATTAATACAATTAATATTAATGTCTGTCCCAGGACAGACAACACTGGGAAGGTTTCAGAGAAAAAACCCCACCACAGAAACACCACGTTACAAAAGGTGCAGCTGTACTCAAATCCTCATCACCCACAAGCCCACAGCTCACATCCTACCAAAGACTAAGAAATTACATCTGTTCTTCACATTTCATTGGACTTTCTGATGTAAGCAACTCTCCTTCTGTTTTCTTTGCATCCTTAATAACAGATCTGAGGTGAGGAACTCTTCAGGATTGGTAAATCATTGATTTGGTGCCTGTAGACATCAGTGCATGGAAGCTGTACATTGTATCTATGTGATATGTACATTATATGTCTCTTTTCAGCCAGATACATATATAAAATTTAAGATTATACCAGAGTTACCACTCCTTTCCATCCACTTCTTAACAAATAAATCAACTTTTTTTTTGCCTACAGCAGCCCTGCATCCCACAAAACCCTTCCAGGACCAAACTGACCTACCACATCTACGTGACCCTTCTATAAAATATTTAGAAAGTCTTCTCCAAGGTTTTATAAAGCTGGTAACTGCCAAGTGGTTGAAACCTACCATCTTACAGATTTCTGTTTGGTCATCTGTCCCAAAAGCTCGAACAAGATCTTCCTTCTTTGCCACCTGGCCTTTGGAAACGTTGACAAACACCGTGTGTGTCTGCAGGACCTCGTCCAGATCCTTCTCCCTAGAGAAAAGGGCTGGGTTAGAAAACTTGTGAAGTCAACGACGCAAGAGAGAGCACGTGAGTTTTCAGCAAGGAGGAATGAGTCCCACTGCCAAGGTCTGAACCAGGGGAGCCCGGAAAGTTGTACTATTGAAATGTCACTGCCCAGGGAGGGGTAGGGGCACCCACAGCACCTTGGGGTGCTCCCCATTCCTGGCTCCACATGGGCCTCCCTCCCACTCGCCACAGCTGGGTCCCCCCCATGCACCTGGATCCCCACATGGACCTTCCCCTGGCACAGCTGAGTCACAGAATCACAGACTGGTGGGGTTGG